ACTGATATCACTACTTTGAGAGTCTTATAACAGTGATTACTGTTAGAACTGATTATAACAGCTTATAATAGTTTACTTCAACTAAGAAACTCTCATAGTAGCAGATTTACTGAGCTCAGAGACTGAGTGAGTTCTGATTCAAGATAGAATATATTAAGAAAACTAAGAACTCAGTAGACAGACTCTCTTACAGATCAGACTATGTTAAGAAGATCAGAATAATAGACACAGAGAGACTAGAGAAGACAGAAAAGCTTCACAGAATACTCAGACTGAGTATTATAAAGAGATTGACTGAAGAGTCTTTTAATTCTCTATAAGAGAAGAGAGAAGAGAGAGAAGAGAAGTCTGTACAACTACTCTCTATAATACTGAGAGTCAATACTCTGAGAATCTCTATGAGAATTCTTGAAGAGAGTATCTATAATCTGAAGAGTTTGCAGACTTTGAGAAGTACTGTGAAAGATCTGATGTAAGAGAAAACAGAGTATAAGTCTTCATAAGATCTTCTATTCAGATTGTCTGAACTGTAACTGAAGAATGAATATACTCAGTATATTCAGAAACTGCTTATAACAGAGATTAACTCTGCAGAAATAAAGAGTTAAAGAGACTTAAATAATCTCTTATAAAGAGAGAGCTGAATTTATATATCTGTAAATAAGTTTCTATATATAGAACTTATTAAAAGATATCATGACTCTTCTCTAGTAAGTCATTTTATAGATACTAGAACTTATAAGTTACTTATAAGAAAATACTTTTAACTGAAGATATAAGAACTTATGAAGAAGATAGTGAATTCTTATACTATTTATCAGAATTCACAGATAGTGTGATTCAGATTATATAAAGAACTTACTTCTCTACTCATCTCATAAGAACCTTAGAAATAGCTAGAAATGAATGCTCTTGTGAGCCTCTCTGAAAGTAAGAATATATATAATACCTGCTTTAACAGTGTGCTGATGATAGTGAATCACTTTATCAAGATAACACACTTTATACTCATCTGTAAGAACTTGAAGTCAAAGAATTTAACTCATATCTTCATCTGTAATGTAGTTCAGTTATATAAGTTATCTATGAATATTATCTCAGATAGAGAATTAATCTTTATAGAAGAGTTCTGATCTGATCTGATAATTATACTGAAGATTTCATGAGATCTAAGTATGACTTTTCATCAACAGATAGATGATCAGATAGAATATCTAATAAGTATATTAAAATAGTATCTGTAATACTTTGTCAATTATAATCAGAATAACTGAGTGTATTGATTATTACTTACAGAGTTTATATATAATAACTTAAAACATATCAGTACAGATAAAACTCTCTTTGAGATACTCACTGAGACTCATCTGTAAATAATCTTAATAAATCTGTGAGAGTATACTATAGAGTGTGATAATATCTGTGAATGAGCTGAGAGAATTCAGAAGATTCAGAAGAAAGTCTGTGAATTCTTGAAAAAGACTTAAAAGTATCAGAAGAGATACTATGACTTTAAGCATATTATAAAGAGTTTTAAGAAAGATAATAGAGTCTGACTAAGTCTAGAAAATATTATCATACAGAGATCTAGTAAGAAGCTGAATCTCTTATAAATAAAGTCTTATAAGATTGTGAAGAAAGTTAGTTTACAGTTCTATAAATTAAAATTATTATCTGAGTTATAGATATATAATGTTTTTCATGTCTCTTTACTCTGTAAATATAAGAAATTCTTAGAAGAGAACTCTATAGCTCATTACTCTGTTTACAAAGTACTAGAGAGTGAAAGAGAATATCAGATTAAAGAGATTATTAACTCAGAGAAGTGAGATTATAAGCTCTGATTCAAGGTTCAGTGATAAGAGTATTCTGATAAGATAAATAAGTTTACTTAAGAATTATCTGAGTAGATAAGATATCTGCAGAAGCTGAGATATAACTTCTATACTATAAATTCTGATAAGTCAGAATAATGTGATCTTCACTAAGAATCTAATTATAATAAAGATATTAACACTGTCATTTACAAACTCTAGTCTATAAGATAATGAGTTTCTACTGAGATGAACAGTCTGCAGTGTATATAAGAAAAGAAGAAATTATATTCTTATTAAAGCTAAAAAACAAGAAAACAAACAGAGTTATGAATATAATTTGAAGATTAATAAAGAAAAAATAAAGAAAACTTAAACTTATATTCTTATTACTCATGATACTTAACTCTCTTACAACTATTAATTTTCTTCTTTAAAGAAGTAGAGAGTATTATATCTGTGATACAGATAATTGTTATATTTAGTATAAAGACTATTAGAAATGCACAGACTTCAGAGAAGCTGAACATCAGAGTGTATACAGTTATAGCAGAGTCTTGAAGACTGATTATCTGTATGTATAATCAGATACTTTTTATAAAGCTATATCTGCTTTCTTAGTTATGCTGAAGTATTCAGTCTAAAAATAATTAAGATACAGAGAGAGAGCTCATCTATTCAGATTAACTTTCATCATAAATTCATGACATTTGTATTGTCTTGATTACTCAGATTTTATAAGTACTCAGAAACTTATCTCTTATTAATAATGAAATTACAGAAATGTGCTGCAGTATGAGAATCATTAATAGAGAATCTAGATATATTCATATATATCTGATCAGTGATTGTATGAGCAGAAAGAGAGTGATTATAGATTCACAGAGCTGTAGAAGACACTGACAACACTGAAAGCTTTATAAGAACTGTCAGCTAGAGTCTGTAAGAAATTACTTATGAGAAGACTTACAGTAAAGAGAGAGACTATACTGCTTAAAGTCAGAGACTAATTTGAAGAAGACAGAGAATTAACTGCTAGTCTGAAGATCAGATGCAATGACAGAGTTGAGAGAAATAAAGATATAATTATGAGTAGTGACATCTCTGCTTCATCAGTCAGTAAAAAGTGATTAGAGAAGTTATAAGAACACTTATAAGAAGCTCAGCAGCAGTCAGATATTGTTATAAAGATATTGAAATTGAAAAATTTTTATTCTTGAGAAGTTCTTGAATTAATATATAAATATTATCAGAAATACTCTCTCTCTATTATCTGAGTGAAAACACTTTATGAATGAATAAAAATACTCACAGTTTATAAGAATGAGAGCTGTTATAGAAAAAGAGAAAAGAAGATAAGATTCTGTGAATAGATCTGAGATATTTATACTACTCTAGAGAGATTTGTTTACACTGTAAGTAATTCTATGAAACAGTCAGATCACTCTAGTAAATAAGAGTGATTATGAATTATAGATCTGAATCTTTCTATATAATTATAAAGAGTGATTACAGACTGTAGATATCTTAATTCTACAATTCTACAGAGTTGATAAAAGAGTGAAAAATTCCTCACAATTCTACAGTGTTAAAGAATAATGATTTATAAGAATAAGTAAAAGATTAACTTATAAATATTTCTCTTTAATGAGAATAATCTCATAGAAAGTGATTCATCTGTGAAATGAATCTGTGTAATAGTTATATAAGAATCTTATAAAAATAGTTAAGAGTCAACTGAAACTCTTTTATATAAAAGATATAAGATAAATCTGTGTAATAGTCAGAGAAGAATCTGTAGATTATAAAGAATCTCATAGAATAAGAAACTAAGTGATAGACTCTTTTCTCTTTATAGTAATAAGGAATTTTTCCTCACTGAGGTTTTTTTATAGATATAAAGAATTTTTAGTGAGTATCACTGCAGTGCTAAGCTGATTCTATGAAGTTACTTAGTGAAAGGCTTTGTGAATAAAGTCTTAGAGAGAGAAAAGTATGTAAGAAATTTCACTTCTCATAGATTCTTTATCTCTATTTCTATCTCTCATATAATCAATAGAGCTAGCAGCCCTTGGCTATACATAACTATATAGACTGAAGTTCATGAATACTATTCATAACTCAGCTTGAATACTATTATACATTTGATCTCTACATTTTATCTTTCTATCACAAATACTTCTAGTAGTTAACAGTACATATCATGCTAAGCTGCAAACACCCGAATAATCGCCTGCGAGCACTTATTCTTACATGGATGGAATCATCCGCATGAAAGCAATGAGCCGTGTGGAACCGCAGCGGGGCCTTGGCGCGGCCAGGGGCGTGACACTTCTCACAATTAATCTTCTCAGAGACAGTTGTAAAACTACATCATTAAATCAATACAGTAGTCAAGATCTTAGAAGATGTGAAGAATATTCTTACATCTGATTTGATAAGACAGTTGAACAAGATCTTCAAGAGTAGCATGATTCAGGTGAAATTGAATACACATTATAAGAGTGAACTTACAGATCATTATTAAGTAAATAGATGTCAGGTTATTAAATCCTCTCACAGACAGGTACAAGTAGATGAAGTTCTCACTATTAAGAATGTCAATTGCAAGATCATGATCTGTAGAGCAGATAAGATGAAAAAGATATTTAATAAGACTCTTTAATTGATTGAAATCAAATCTACAAAATCTACAGTTACTCAATCATAATAAGATAATTCTATAGAATCTCAACTTACAGTGGATTCTACATCTTCTAATGAGTATATAGATAATCTTTATATTATAGATAGATATGATGATGATTATTAATTAATTTTTGAAGATTACTATATTCAAAATATTTTCTTTACAGTGTGGTTTTCTGTACACTGTGGCACACTCACTACAGAGAGTGAGTAAGTATGGCACGGTTAGACCAAGTCTATATTGGGCGAACGCCAACCCCGCCACACGTTTATCTTAGCTAGCTCCTCCTACTAGAATAATACGACGATCAACCTTTCCCATGCTACGGAGTACACCAACAAGATAGAGGCGGGCTTAAGCGTGGTCAGCAGCTCTCAGCAAAGGAAAGGAAAGCAGATCAAGAGTAATTTCGCTGCTAAACTTTTAATGAGAGGATAATAACGCACAAAGTCTCTGCGACCTCATCCTCCGCCATAATCTGAAGCTTCTGACGGAAGATGCTCTGCAAGCTTGCCAGCAGGCAGTCTGAGACCAAGTTTCCCCTCGATGGTTACGATATAACTAAAGTCCCTGATGAAACCCTGATTGAACTCTTCAATACTGCACCATTGCTCCATGACAAGTTGACAACTCTATTTAGAACTGTTGAGAGACCTCGAGTCAGACTCAGCATGAAGATGTTGTTTCTCAGTTAACTTCTATGTTTATTGCTTTGCAGTCAGCTTGTGTATCTCAACAACCAGGCTCAGTAGATCACCTTTACAAGGCTAAAGAGTGCTGATTTGATGTAGAGAGTGGTTCATTCAGAGAAATTATAGTCATGTAGAATTGATTTAACTACAAACTTGAAATTTGTCAAAGTTTCAAGCAGGTCTCAGATACTGTTCCACTCTTCTGTTTTGATAAGTTGATTCTTACTCATCAAGATATTGCTCTCCAGAATTTCATACTAGACCTCAAGAGCGAGGTTTGGCTAATTGACTGAGGTGATACTGAAATTTATTACTCTGAAGGATTTGAATATGCAGTATTAGCTGTAAGAAGGTGAACTGCAGAGTTGTTTACAGATATGTTGTTTCAACAGATTCCTAGACATTCAAAGATGAAGTGGCAATTGTCCCAAATTATATACGCATTGACATGGGCAATGGATTGAGTGAGGATGAGCTGTGAAATGATAGTTTATGCCATGATGAAGAATGTTGACTGAGGCATGATAATAACAGAATAGGGATTGGCCTTGGACAGCACTTGCACCTTAGATATTCTTTATATCAACTAATTTGAAGGTTAGACTGCTGCTTCTTTGCTTCATAAAATTCCTTCTCAGCAAACTCTTGGTCTTTTTGAATTGCACATTGAAACACATTAAGATTCAATTAGAAAGACCTTCTCCTGTGCTTATTACTCCTGCGCAGCAGCTTCCTTTCAAACTACATTAACCTTAGTAGAAGAGAAGAATTTTGCTCCATCATCATCCTTATTAGCAAGTCCCATTCTACTGCCACGGCGGCGGCGTCGTTTTGGAGGCTCGATTCTCGTGTTGAACAACCTCACATTCACATGCAAAGTTCTCAGTTGCATGGATAGATAATCTTGTACGCCGTATTTTCCTGAGCCATGCAGTAATCTTCATTAGGCCTTGAAGTTCTGTATTGCAATATTGCTTCAGTTCTTGGCGTAGATTTATTTACCTGATAGCGCGGCATCAACGTTGTTTGTTGAATTCCAGATTATTATTATTATTATTATTATTATTATTAGTGATAACAGTATAATGCTTGACTTCTTGCAATTCTAACTCACCAGCACTTCATCAGTTGGAGCCGTTTTTCCCAGTATGACGGTTGAAAGATGGGAGCTGAACAGGTGATGGAGTCAGAATGTCGGATTGAGTGTCACGGATGAATATGTTGAAGACATATGAATCTTATGTGTATCAAGATCTGCTTGTTATATTATTCATGCCCTATCTCATATATCTATTTCATACAAAAGATAGAGCTATTTATAGTAAAATATATATACAAGCTAAGAGAGCTAGTATAAGTGAGTATTAGACAAGCATTGTAGTAAGCTGATGATAATGATGAGAAATATTGTAGTAATACAATATTAGTGATATTCAGTAGTGTATAATCTCTTTTTTTCTGACACACTCTCTTCAGTGAATGTAACATGTAAATGAAAGTGTAAATGAAGCTGTAATAAAAAGAGTGTAGATGAATCTGTAGAGATTATATCAAGATAGATTATTTATACTATCATTCTACTTGTGTCTTGATGATATCTGATATATTAACTAGGCCTAGTATCTTGATAAATTCTGTATGTTTCTGGTGTGACAGAGTCTTAGTGAGGCCATTCACTGGCATCTAGACTGTAGACACTCAATCAACTGTAATATCACTGAATTGAACATATTCTCAGAGCCAGCTTTCATATATATCAACATGACAGAGTTTCATGATTATAGAGAAGTCTTTCTTCATAAGAATGTCAACAGTTTGATAATTATCACATTGAATATGAATCTTATGACCAGATTTAAATTGAATATGTTGAAAGAATCTATCTTATCAGATAGACTTCTTATCAGCTTATAAGATAGTAACAAGCTCAGCTTCTGTGATAGATGTAGTTATAATTGTCTATCTATTTGATTTTCAATCAACAGCCTCACTGAATAGTTTGAAGATATATTCTTGTATAGAGCAGTGATTCAGATTATCTGTAAAAGAGATATCACTGACAGCTTCAATAATATCAGGTTTGAAATCAAGTTATAGAGATCTGTCAATGTTATTATCATATTGAATAGTAAGATTCTTTATATTATATAGATAAGATATCATTCTATTCATCTCTGATAAGTGATATTTCAATGAATTCATTATGAATATAGCTAGTTTACTCACTGTATATATAATATCAGAGTGAGTCATTACTGCTGAATAGATGCAGAAGCTGATACATTATTAATAATGATGAATTTTTACAGATATGACTGACTTATTAAAAGGCTCTAATGAAGCATCAGTTAGTGAGGTATATGCCTTGCAGATGTGTGTGAGATGATATGTATTAACTATCTTATTAATATAGATATTCTGACATAGTCAGAGCTTCAAGTTGAGATGATCATATATTATTTACATGTTGAGAAATCATTTCAAATCTCTCATCTGTCAGATCTTATAGGCATTTTTAAGATCTTTGATTAGTTGATCTCTTTCTTTTAAATCTTCTCATTGTAATAGAATGATGATATCATTCATATAGAAGAAGATAATTAATTAATTATTAGAGAAGAGACATTAATTCTCTGATATAGAGATAAAGTCTAGTATTCTCAATGTTGAAGATAGTTCATTTAACCAGAGAAGAAATGATCTGTGTAATTCATATAGTACTTGTAGAAGTTTTAGTATATGATTTATACACTTTAAATTTTACACTCTCTTCAACTTTCATCATTTATCAGATAGTTCTATATATACTAGCTCATTAATATCACTATTAATAAAGACATTGATTTCATCTAGCTGTTTCATATCTAGATTAAATACTGCTGTTAAAGCTAATAAGATTCAGAAATCTCTGATAACTAGTATATAAGCTTTTATAGTGAGATCTGTGATTGATTGAAGATCTCTGTGTACACAGATATGAGCTTTGTATTTCAAAAGAAAATCTTCATCATCAAATTTGTAGATGAATACTTATTATAGAGAGATAATTAAGATATCTCTCTATAATCTGCTAGTAATTTCATATATATTCTGCAGAGATATACTATCTTATTTCTGTTTAACAGTGTTCTCAAATTCTTCACAATGTGAGTATTTTTTAATATCTGCTCAGTAATTCAGTGAATCTGATAGTTAAGATCTATGAATTCTTGATATAGCTGTTTTATTGATAACTGTAAAAACAGTATTAGAAAATAAATTTTAAGACTTGTAGAAGTCTGAGTATAATTGAGAGAATATCTCATTGATTATTTATAATAGATTATTTTTAATATTTAAAACTATTATAAGATAAGCAGCTCTGCATTTTCAAATTCTGCAGTTATTAATAATATTTGCTTCATCAAAGTCAGTACTAATATTATAAGCTCTAGATACAATATTCTGTATTTAACTATCTATCACAGCTGAATAAGTATTAATATTAACATCAGAATCTGTTGACTCTGGTATTGAATCTGATATAGAAAGAATTGAAACATTATTTTTCTTCTCTATTTTTTCAGAGTTTTAAGCATTTTCTTTAAAATGAAAAACATTAATATCTGCATCTATAATCTCTTTCAATTAATTGATAGAAGTTATTGATGATTCTTAAACTTTCATATATAAAAGCTTCATCTTCTTAGATACTCAATCTCTTAGTTATCTTTCAATGTAGAGATCTTCTGAATTGAATTTTCTATTCTTATTAAACATTATATCTCTTGCTCTTATCACCTGTTCTAAGTATGAAATTCAAATTCAATAGATGTTTATAGAATCATATTTAACTAGATATTCAATATATACTCAGAGATCTAGCTTCTGAGAGCAGTTTCTATTAAGAACTTCATTCAGTATCTTTGCATAGATGTAATATCTGTAGATTCAAAGATAAGCACAGAAGTGTGATTTGATTTATAGAAATTCTTTCAATACTTGTAGAGATGACTTTCAATCTAGAATTCTAGTAGAGGTTTGATTTGCTAGATAGATAGTAGTAAGTGTGATCTCAGAGAAAAGTGATTATAATAGAAGAGATTCTATCTGTAGAGTTCTTGTCTTTATTATTAATATTGCTTCTGCTTACTCTGCTGCATCATTTTACTCATAAATATACTCTGAAGAATACTTCATCTCTAGATCTTTATTATTCACTTAATTTATAAAATCATCTGCTTTCTTGATTACAGTATTATTGTCAATATAAATAATCTTTATAGTATAGTTGAATTGATATTTAATTCAATTAATAGCTTGTCTAAGAGCTTTTCAGATTTCTGATTTTTAGATAGCTGTTATAGCTATATGAAAATGTAGATAATCACATATGAAATGTATGAGATAACACTCATCATTATAGCACTGTATAGAGTCATGTGTAATATCTGTGTATAGGCATTCAAATGATATTTAAGATCTAATGTAAAGATATCTAGATATTTGATTTTTTGCATTAGATAGATAACAGAGTTTGCAAAGCTCAGTGATAAGCTCATCTGCAGCATCTTCTAGATTGATGATTTAAACATCAGTTGTATTATTTATAAGCTTTTGAATAATGATTTTCAATGAATGTTCTAATCTCTTATACTATGTAGACTGAGTAGCTATAGAGATCTTAGGTTTTTGAGAAGATTTTATGCATATTAACAGGTTGAAAGAATGATTTGTTGAAGTGTGTTTTAACAGATTAGAAGAAGGATTTGAAGAAGTTGAAGAATTTGAAGATATAGTAATGTTAGATGTGTATGATGTGATAACTGCATCAGCTTCAGTAGTGAATTTTTTCAAGATAGTTAAGAAAACAACTATTTCACTATATTCTGTAACTAGCAATTTCTTAAATACTTCAATATATACAAAGATTGTATTATCTACATATTTTTACAATCTGAAGTCTTTTTCATTATAATAGATGCCTTCTATATGAAAACATGATTTTCATGTAATGATATTTGTATGAAAATTCAGTATATAAGCTGTATTAATGAGATTGACATTGAACTACTTTTCTACTTCATTTATCATGATAGTTCTAACAGTTTCATAATCTTCAACTTTAATGCTGAAATCATCTGTATAGACTTCTGCATTCTTGTTTACAGGTGTAAAGAATAGAAAACATGTTTGATTATTGTATATATACTGTTTCATATCAGTATCAAAGATTCAGAAGTTTTAAAGATAGAAGTATGAATTTGAAGAGTTCATTAATATTTTTCAGATCTGCTGATTAATAGATTGATAATTGATAGATTAATGATCTGATTACTTCAGAATCATTTCTTCTAGAACTGCTTCATTGACATCTATTATATCTGTATTCATTGATAAATCTCTTGATAAATCTCTTGATAATACATAATCAATATGTCTCTTCAATTCTTGATTTTTAAGAGCTTGATCAATCTGAGTTCTCTTCTTCTCATTTTTCTTTTATTCAGATGGCTTTCTTGATGAATTGAGATAGTAACACTGAGTATATCAATGACAGGCTCTGCAGATGTAGTTTCTGAATATCACTGATAATGATTACTGAGATCTTTCATTTAGAGTAGTGAAGTTCATAGATTTATCTTCTTTGAGAATACTC